TCGCCTCATAACTAAAAATCCTAAAACCCGAAATGCAACCCCAAATCACGAAAAGAAAAAATCCAAAACTCTTCGCTTTCCAGCGAAATCCCAGCGGGCTTTTGACCCTGATCCACATACCTCCCTACCAACCGCCGTAAGCGAAGTGCAACCACGAGCCTCCCATCTGGTATGAAACAGCCATTGAGGCATCCGTTGAAGAAACTCCCAGTGTTGAGAGGGCTGATTTTCTCTGATGGGGCTTCGCACGTGGTTCTCAAACAAGTTTTCCAGCATTGTTCTGCACATGTGTTCCTCCCCCTCTGCGCTCACTACTTCAGTCTTCTGATGGGGAGAAAATTAGAAAGGAAGTTATGCAGGTAAGTAAGAGAACGACCGATTTAGACAAGATTGCGCTGACCCCAAAGTATTCTCACCACGATGTTTGGCTTTGGCCCCAAGGCGGGTCCGCAATGAGCCCGCCTCCTTATGTCACACTGATTGACCGAAAGGATCTGCAATAGGTCCGGATGGAAATGTTTTTCTACGAAAACAAAATTTTTTAGCGAAAAATCCTTTTGTCTCAAAGCAAGGATGAAATTGAACGATTTCAACACGCTTGCAATCGCAGTATATCTGTGACAATAAGAAGCGAGGACAAGGTTGAGTGTGAGATTACTGAAATGCATCATTGAATTGAGGTCGCGTTCATAGTTCGCGACTCGGGAGATTAGGATAGTAGGCGACAGGATATTAGGATAGTAGTAGAGTAGGAGATTGCGCTGACAAGATTGGATACGTATCGATTGAAATCGCTGGAGAGTAGTAGATTGGGCGACTTCAAGCGAATAGATCAATACGTATCTAATCTTGTCAGCGCACTATCCTAATCCACTACTATCCTAAGGCCGCGTTCATAGTTCGCGACACCGGAGATCAGGATAGTAGGATAGTCGGAGAGTAGGATAGTAGGATACTGAGCGACTGGCGATAGGAGAGTAGGAGAGTAGGATAGTAGTAGATTGCGCTGACAAGATTAGATACGTATCGACTGAAATCGCCGGAGAGTAGGATATTACGATATTACGATAGTAGGATAGTAGTAGATTCCGCTGAACAGATTAGATACATATTGATCAGGATATTAGGATAGTAGGATATTAGTAGAGTACGAGATTAGGATAGTAGGATAGTAAGCGACCACAAATAGAAAATCAATACTCCTATTATGCCTGTTTTCTTTTCCTGCCTACTTTTCCTTTGCTTTTTACTTTCTTTTCTTGAGTTCTTTTCTAGATTAGGTCACAATTGAATTTCCTGTGAAATCCAACAGACTCCTTCTGATCGGTAGCCACGTATGTAGGTGTTGA